AGAAAATTTGTTTAGGTAATTCACATCGGATCAATGATCCACTATAATATTTTGAGCACAAAAGATACAAATCTCCAACCTAATACACATACTATTTGTAGGCACTCTCCCACATAATATTATGAATCCAAGCTATTCTTTCTCTTAAGTAATCCCCACTAATTACTTACATTTACAATGAATCATCAGAACTCTTAAAAGCACACTTACATTGTTTCTTAATTAGTTTAATAAAACTCATTTTCAAATAATCCAATAAAAGTCCTAGTTAAAACGAACACGAACATTGACAATCTTTAAATAAACATTACACATTCTTTGTAAGGCTTGAGACGTAAGTCTTTTTTAATTAAGTTTTTTTAATTAGTGTAAAGTTTTTCCCATGACAGATCAAATCTTCATTTTCAAACAAGAAACCTTCCATAAAATTCATACTTGTCAAACAAGTAACTTAATAAGTTGAACTTAAAACATCAATGTTTGTTTCTCGGAGGATCTTGTTAAAGTATATCAAATCTATAATTTTTAAATAAAAAATCTACTCAAATAAGAAAATTTTATGATAGAATGTCTTAATTCTTTTTGGTTTTCAAAATAATGAGAATTCTTTTCTAACACGTTATAATATGATTACAAAGTAGTATATGTGTAGGTTTCAAATCTAGATAAACTTACATACATCTATAGATAAAGATGTTTGAATTATCTAATATAAAATAATCTTCTAAAAACTCTCAACACCCTGTGAACAAAATATACCAACAAAATAACTTTAATATGACGAGATGGAAACCGTGCAAATCAATATTGATCCAATGTACATTGTCTCAACCACTATGATTTGCACCAACACAATTCAAACTTGAAATTTGAAAGCGGATAAATAAAGTTTATCACACACACCCACGGACTCATGATTGTGAACATTCAAGAAAGTTATGCACCTACACGTACAAAAGAGAGGGTTGTGGAGCAGACACACAGTGGAGGAAAATATTCTAGTTGATGAGTGGACCCTTTCGAGCATCTGGATTACTACGAATGTTCTGGTGCATATTCAGGACGAAAAGCTCCAAAACTCCATATGTAATTTTTCTCTCAAGGAATCATCCTTTTGAGTTCAAGTGGCAATATAAATACCCTCCCCCACTCCCCCTTTCTTCCTCACCTCATTCCTAGGTTTCAAAACCCTAAAATATTTCAGCCATATTACATCAAATAAACCAGCTATGGAATCTGCAGATAACCCACGGTATAGTTCCTTTTCCATTCTCCATCTTAAACTCACAACATGGTCATGCAAACCCGGGGATTCGATGTTTATGTTTATCTCGGTTGTGAACATGACGTACTATAATAACCACATTAATAGAGTAAACAACATACCAGAATGCAGTTTGAATGATTTAATGTTGTAATGCAGGAATAAATGTGCAGCATGCTTCAAACAGTACAACAGAATGGAGCATCTGGTTGATCATATGAGGATTTCGTTTCATTCGGTTCATGAACCCACCTGTGGAGTTTGTAAGAAACATTGCCGATCCTATGAGTCACTAAGGGAACATCTAATAGGTACGTAATTCAAGTCATATTTACATATATAGACTGACTCTTGGAACTTGACTCATGAAAACTACATATGTATACCTTGTTCATAAACATAGGTCCATTGCCTAAACAAGAATGCAAGAGCTTGTTCAACATCAGAGGCTGCAAATTCTGCCTAGCCATTCTGGATAGTCCTTATTCCCTTAGGATTCATCAAGACAGATGCCAGCTATCTGGTGTAAACTATGTATGTATTTGTTCAACTTTTCAAGTCAACTATATGTGTATTATGGCGTTTTTTGAGTTTTTTTTCCTTTCTTTCTTAATATAGGGGATACTGCCTTATATGGCTAACTTGGGTCTTCGAGATAGCTTGACCATCGACAATGGTTATTCACGAGGACCCCAAGTGGTTGCACTCGCATGCAAAACTGTTGGTGGTGGCAGCGATAGGTCATTAGATCTTTGTGCAAGGGTTTGCATAATTGATGAAAATGAGAATATGATCTTCCATTCTCATGTGAAACCTCCTATTCCGGTTACAAACTATAGGTATCACATTAAAATAATCTGTTTAGTTCTATTTCTTTATTTTTTTATAGATATACGTATTCAACACATATTCATACATGAATATGAAGATAATGATTTTTTAAAGAAAACACTTAAAAATTAAATAATTACATATTTATTCCATACTGATCACCTTAATCCGAGTACTATAGGTCCCTTGTTTAAATCACTTTCAGGTATGAAACAACAGGCATTCGACCGGAACATTTGAGAGACGCAATGCCATTGAAACAAGTTCAAAGAAAGATTCAAGATTTCCTTTGCAATGGAGAACCAACGTGGAAAATTCGATCACCTAAAGGTGGAAAAGCCAGGATTCTCGTAGGTCATGGTCTCGATCATGACCTAGATAAAATGCAAGTTGAATATCCACCAATCATGATAAGGTAAAAGTTTGAGAATGCTATATGTACGTACAAAAGTCAACCTGCACTTTTCTTTCCAAGAGTTAACTTGCATATATTCATGTCTATATTCTATGTTCTCAGACTTTCATTTTTATGAATATTCAAATTAAATATTCGTATCCAACTCATATATTCTAAATATAAATATGAAATTAGAATATATATTCATATCCGGCACTCACACCTAAGAATAATAACGTTTAAGTTATTTTCTTTTTAAGGATATAAGCTCAATGATGAAATTAATCTATAAGATTATGTTTGCCTACAGGGATACAGCAAAATATCCACCTTTAATGAAAACAAGCAAACTTAGCAACTCACTCAAGTACTTGACTCAAACATATCTGGGGTAAGAATTAAATATAGATCATCTATTTTCTCCCTATATGATTCGTATTCGTATCGTCTATCAATCGATCATTATCGTTAAAGAGAGACGGATACATCATCTTCTGTGATCAGATATGACATCCAAACTGGCATTCAAGACCCTTACGAAGACTGTGTTGCAACAATGAGGCTTTACCTGAGGATGAGGAGACAATTTCACAAGAGACAAGACAGTCCGCTGGCTTCCGATCCTCAAAATCGGAACAACTTCGCGTCGTGGAGACAAGGCGAGCTCGAGAGGATGTCCCCTGAAGAAATGCTAGCGATCTCAAGGTCTGATTACTACTGTTGGTGCTTGGATTCTGCATGAAACCTTTGAGAAATGGAAGCATTCTAAAAGAGAAAATATGAGAGTTTTCTTCATCCCCCATCACTTATATTAGCAATAAGAAGGAAGTATATTTGTTATTTCCATATATAATTTGTACTAGTAAACAGTTTATTGGATTATATATATGTATGTATGTACCTACCAGTATAAAGTATGCAATCATCTAAATAATAGTATTATATGGCAATTCCATTTCCATCTTCCCATATCTTTCGTTGTTTGACATCTTCCATCCTTGTCATAAACTAGAAAGAATGCCATTAGGTCTGTTAGTTTATATAAACACTTCTAAAAGTATTATGTAATAAGTTTGAGATTCGAGTTCCATCATTTCCTTCGTTCATGGGCTACACCTTTAAGGCAATATATCTAACATATTGTATACAGAAGTTCTTATTCTCAAGAATGCTCAATTGATCAGTTGAGTTATGAACCAAATATATAAAAACTTGCCAAAATTAAAATTCAACATATATAAAGAGACTTTTGCCATGAAATATGAATCATCAAACAACATTTGAAATCTCTAATGAAAATTTACCAGCGATTGACTGCAATTATCAGCTGCTTGTTATCTTGGCTTTGCTAGATATTGCTAGTTTTCTCCCAGGATGGTCAGTTGGGGAGTTTGGATTTTGAAGATCGGAAGAAGTTGTTTTCATATGTTTCAAGATAATATTTACCATTGAAGTGGCACCGTCTTCACCTCATGGTTAAATTGATTCCCTCTTATTAGGACCACTTAACACTCACAAGTAAACTGTAGATCTCATTGGTTTCTACTGGAATCAGATTTCCAGGAATTCAAACTCAGGTTTTCCTCGGCCTTCTTATGGCCTCATGGTTAAGTGTTTTGCACATTTTATTTGGAATCATATTCTGCATGTCTATTATCTAATCATATTCCGATATATTTGAAGAATACGATAAATTTGTAATATAAAATATTATTAATATTTAAATTCAATAACGTAGTAAAATCCCATCAAATCGGGAAGTCGCTACACGTAAAATATAATGATAAATTGATCTTCTTATTTTATTTCATAATGGGAAGTGAACATAAATCTTATTAAAAAACATGGAAGTAAATGAAGGGGGTTAACAAGGACGTGTACAATCACATTGAGAAGGGTTAACGCATCGCCCAACAGCTTTAGGTCCGAAGCTAAACGTGCAGTGTTGTTCATAATCTTGTTCAGTGCAGTTCATGTTTAATGAAACTGTGCATGTTGCAGCCTCCACCATTCTTGGCTCACTTCCCGAAAATTATTACAATTACATACACAAAATTATTAATATTTTATACCCTTCAACAAAAAAATATTCTTCATTTAAAAATAATGGTACATAATATTAACTTGTGTATTTTTATTATATATGATTTTTTTATTAACTTGATATGATTTTAAGATAATAATAATATTTCTTTTTATCACTCAGATTATTCAATGAATTCTTATAATTAAAAATAATGGTACATAATTTGTTCATTATAAAAATAATTAAATATGAAATAAAATAATATACAACAAAGAAAAAAGTGTTTTATTTAAGGTACAACATCATTGTTTCATACACTATCTCCAACATAGTTCAAACAAAAACAACGGGCAAATTTTCGAATAAAAAGAAAAGGAAGAGAAAGCAAAGGGTAAATTTCTGTACAAAATGCATTGCATTACGTGCTTCACTGTTCTAAGCCAGAATCCCATCCATCTCCTTCAGGTTCACATTGTTCTTTCTCAAAGAAATTTAATCTTTATATAAATATATACACACACACATGTACGTATATAATTTCCCAGAAGATGTATTATTGGCTACATAGATTTGAAAGTACAAAGATGATAACCAGAAACAAGTGAGCTTAAGGCCAAGGCAACGAATGCCACCAAGGACAAGGCCATTGAAGCTCTTGCCATCTCCGGGAACTTGTCCTTTCCCCAATTGGATTGCCAATCGTCGACTCGAACAGCTGCTGAAGATGATGCCGCTATGAGAAGATAAGCCAGCATCTGCCAAATTGAACAAAGAGTTCAGTGTTTCACTCGAAAACAGATTTATGATGCTAGTATGAAGAAAACAGGATCTGCTAAACTTATCTACTGGGGAAAGTGTCAGGCCAAGTTCTAAAGCCAGAAGAGCATAAATAACTTTAATGAGCAAAGAATGTAGTATTTTAGCCACAACAGATGAAGATTTGTTTCAGAAAGGTTCTAGAAACAGAAAGAAGAAAAGAACATAGCAAAGCACCTTGTCTGTTTTCGAGTGTGGCATCTTAAGATCGATATTACACATTACACAGACTAAAATACTCAATTACTCATATCCGACCCTCACCTCTAAGTTCGAGAAATATAGCTTAACATTATAAAACAAAAGGCAGAAACTCGGTTCATCAAATTAACTTTATTAGTTCCCAATTCCCATGTTACTAAACCCTAAAATCCATATCACTCAAACACAGGTCTATTCTATCTTTTTCAAGATTTTCATGTGTTTGAAAGGTCCTTGAAGGATCACATCCTCATAGTCGTATCCAAATACACGTCAATCACTATTATCAAACTCGGGCACTTAAAAACATGAAGAATGAAAACAACATTGTATAAAATACCTATGTTCAATACTCGTATATTCAAAATGTGATTATGAGAACATGCTCCTTTAAACATTTAGAAAAATCAAACTTAATCATATATGATGCATATTCATATTTGACAATCACTTTTGAACTCGAGTAACATAAAAGGCAGCTGACTTTACAACCATTGCTTGGAAATCAAGCGTTTCCAAAGATAACCCCAAATTCTCCACTACACAAAAGTACCAACTATTAGCCAAACCAAAAGCCACAAACATTATTCAGAAACAAAATTGGGAAAGCAAAAGACAGCATTATCACAGAGAAAAGGCATTAAAAAAGGTCATCCGAAAAGGGTATTCCAACAACTAACCTAACTGGACCAAATACCCACCAATTGTGTGTCCAACAAGGAGGTAGATACACCGGCCATAGGAGTCACCCACCACCAACCTTTATAGGCTGTGGTCCCTAAATTACCTCATCAAACCCATCATAACTCACAGGTGCACCCCGGACTTTTTTTTCCTAAAATATTTGTATCTGATGTTATATCCGGCACATACTCACATGAGTATGGTATGAAAAATTTTGTGTCAATACACATTGCTATCCATACTTACTGGCCTAGAAAATAAGGGACTTCAGTCTAAAGCTATACTGTTTAGAATTTGTATTTCTCTTGAACTAACTATGTTCAAAATCCATTTCCAACATACATTCAAATATACTCATATTTGATTATCACTCTAATACTCGTACTCGATTCCTACTAACATGGTTGGAGAGAAGAATTACCTGATCCAAAGCGAAATCTATGTAGCACCGGAGACGACTCCGCGACTTACGCTTGCCTGAGGTCAATTGGTAGGCAAGGTCATATGCTTGAATCCCAGAGTATACAAATCCTATCACATTCACCGCCATACAAAACCTGCATACCATTGAAGATCAAACACATTTGAACAACGGATTTGATATCAACATCATTAAGAAAAAACAATGGCTGGAAACACATAATCAGTTGAATCAATGATCATTTCAATTAAGAAAAATCCAAGAAAGAAAGCAAACCTGAACTCCTTGTAGCGGTAGAAAGAATCAAGAGCCCAACCTTGATTTCTATCGGTAGCTAGAACAGAGAAAGAAACCAAACAGAAACCAAACCCAGAAATCCTGAACCCCAATAAAGCCTTTTTAATCACCTTATCTCTCTTGGTTCTCCTTAATATGGAGAAATCAGGCCTCAATCTTTTACCACTACCAGAACCCAGTTTTTGCGTCTGCTCTTCAAGTTCAACAGTAATCGCAGTTGGCTGATCTCTGGAAGTGAGCTCCGCCCTGGAAACCGCCGCAGCAGGTGGTGGCTTGGAGTTGGGTTCAGAAGGTTGAGGTGACGATGTTGGTTGTGGTGGGGAAAAGCCGTGGCTGAGAGAAGAATTATCAGATGAAAGAGGAGAATCAACGGGGGAAGGATCGGATGGTGGTGATCGAGTGGTTTTTAGGGTCAATGGAAACTGTGAAACCGTGGCGGTTTTCGCTCTTCTTCTCCATGCTTGTGCCGTTCTTGTCGATCTTTTTCTTGCTGTTTCTCTTGTTCTTGATTCTTCTGCTGCTCTTGAGGTTGTTTCTGATGTTGTTCTTCCTGTTGTTGTGCTTGGGGATTATTCTGGCTCTCCATCATTGAAGAAGGTAGACTGATTGAACCCTCTGGTTATCAACACTTTGAAAGTGAAACGGTTTAGGAGTCAATCGGGAGATAAATTATTGGTTATTATTAAGAGGGAAAAAAGGGGAAATTATTAAAAAAAAATCAAGAAAACGACAGCGTTAGTTTCCTAAGACGTTCTTTCTCTTGTCTCTTGTCTCTTGATGCTACTTCCACTGTTGTGTGGTTTTTTTTCCTTCTCAATTTAGGAGATTCAAATTCCTTTGTTTCAAGGGCAGTGGTAGTAGTATTTTCCGGCTACTTTCCTGTCGTTTCTACTCTTCTTTTTGTTATTTTTTCGTTAGTTGTAGTTTGGTTCATTAATTTTCAGTTGTATTTTGTGTATTTATAATAATGCATTATCTTGATTTTTTTTTGTAATAAAGAGTATTATGTTATGGGTACTTTTAGGTTTTTGGTACATGTTTCTTTCATTAATCTTTTTCTTGGTCTACAGTTCTATAGAAATTTTTAGTTTTTGTTTTCTAGATGCATGCTCTCTTCGTTTGTGTGTATATAATATTTCGTTAGTTGTTATATATCTATGTTAGATAGGATTACGATTAAAGAAATATTATTATTTTTATTTATCGCTTTGGATATTCATCAAAAAAAAATTTATGTTTGGTGTTGGGGAATGTCGGAGAGTTTTGTATCTATATATCATTGTCTCAACTACTCATGCTCTTACTCTTTAAATTATCACCGCTAGCTAACTGCTATATTTTATTTATGATAATTATAAATATATTTATTCAACATATATATGACAAGATGTTGTTGATGTTATTTTATTTTACTAATGAATATATCAAAATACTATTTTTAAAAATAAAATTAACTTTTTTTTTTTTGAAGAAAGGAGATTTAGAAGAAAACAAATTTAATTAGTAGAGAAGTAGCTTTGTGTTCAAGGCATGCAAACCCAAGAGTTGGTTTGACCAATAAACCCACTACTTCGTTGCGTTTTACGAATTTTTTTATGTTCTTAATTAATTAGAGACAAAGGCGGCCAATAATATTAATAAAGATAAATAAATTTTGATTTGATTTTTTTAAAAAATATTTTTTAAAATTTTATATAATTTTTAAGTTAATTTAAATTTCTTATTCAATTTGAATTTAAATTTTTTAAAGTTCAAATAAATGAAAAATAAAAAATTAAATTAATATCTTTAGTCTTTAGCTAAACAATTTAATTATTTAACTGTTTGATACTTGATTCTTCAATGTTTTCTTCATTTTATGTTTGTTTTTAATAAAATTTGAACCATGTTTTCACTCCTCAATTGTTATAGAATATCTATGTAGTTTTAGTTTCTCCTTTTTGACAACAAATGTCTTCTTTTACAATCTAGTTAAGCGATTTTGCATCATTATCGTGTTTTTTCCTCTTCGTTTTAAGTTTATCTTGATCAAATCTTAATCACGTGCTCCTTTATAACCGTAAAATATTTATATAACTTTAATTTTTGACAAAAAATCTTATTTTTACAATTTAATCTCCTAAATTTACCTTTTAATCAATTCGATCTCTATAATCACGACTCCTTACAAAGTTTTTCTTCCAATTTTTTGACTCATTTACACTCACATCAGTACTCCATCCTCAAAATCCCTTCTTAAAAAATGTCAATTCAAAATTATTATACTATAATTTTAGATGATATTTAATTTATTAAATAACATTATAAATCTTGCTTACACAGAATAAAAAATATAAAAATACATTATATCATATGTAGTTAGATAAAGTTATTTAAATTTGAACCAATTAGTATCATAAACTTACAAATAATCATATTTAAATTGAATAAAAACCTGAACAAACATATTTGATTTGACTCTACTCATGTTTCATAAACTCAACTCTATATGATATCTGTATATTATAAATAAATAAATATCATATATGATTATAGGAAATCATTTAAATAAGAATCAATTAATACAATAACAATATAAATATTTATAATTAAATTAAATAACAAATCGAATAACTTAACTCAAATTTTATAAATAATTAAAAAATTTTTAATTCAATCTAATACTCATTCTTAGAAAAGACTCTTACTCGTACTGTGTGGCAACGGAGATAAGGTGGCTAATGATTTTAAACTAATTCCAGGGTTATTCGGGGGTGGAATATTTTTAGGTACCTCCCCCACGTGAAAGAGATATTTGGTTTTTCTCTTCTTTTCTTTTTTCTCGGCTATCGAGATCTTTACTTAAATTACAGTTACCTTTTTCGTTTGATATGACATTCTAAATTTATATTTAGGTTCGATTGCAACTCAAGTATAAATTAAAAATGTCAAACATGTTCATGTAAAAAAATACGAAGTATGTTTAATATTATTTTATAATAATGATATTAATTATGTTCATTGAAAATAAAGTATAAATAAAATAATTTTACTCTCAAGTTATCCCAGTTCAATTTCATTATTATCAAGTATTTTAATTTTGATTTAAATAATTTATAAAAATAATATTTCTATTTATTTTTATTTTTATTCAAAATTTTCAATATCACTTAAATTTAAACTTTAGAATAAATATAAAAACTTTAGATTATGAAATAACATTTGTTTCATCACAGTTTCAAATTGAGCGCTGCAAATTCAAAGTTTAGTATATATATGATCAATGGTGAATTAAGAATTAAAAAAATAAAGGTTTAAAAATTTTAATATTTTTTTTGAAAAAGAATGTGAATGGATTTTTTTACTCTTTTCTTTCTCTTAATATATTAAATTATATTTAATAATTTATCTAAAATAATAGTTATAAATTTAGCCTCCAAAAAGATTAAGTGCATCTTTCGTGACGATGACTCTAACTATTTAATTTGTTTCATTAATAATTTTAAGATTTAAATTTAGATTATTTAGATGTTATTACTATTTCATTTTATTAACTTAATAGTTAATTAATTAAAACAACTTAAATTTTAATAATTAAACGCAACTAAACTTAAACTGAACTTCAAATCTTAATTCCCGGGTTTAGCTCAAATTTGTTGCGATTAATTTAACTCGATTGCACACATACTCTAAAGGGTAAATTACACCATTTTTATTGAACTATACTCTCTCTTCTATTTTATTCATTGTATTTAAATTTTTCTAATTTACTCACAGAATTTTTGAATTACTTCTATTTTCATCGCTCTGAATTATTTTATTATTATTTATGTATGAATTAGTATTTTATTATTATTATTTAATATAAAATAAAAACAGAATATGGTTGGACGCCACTGTCGACCACCTTCGACCGTCGTAGATGGTGACCATTTGGTCTCAAATTTCATGGCTCTTGTTCGTCATGACACCTTGAGTCTGAATATGTCCTCCATTTTGCGGGAACATGCTCTGAAGTCCACGAATTGGAGATTAAAGTGAGGAAGTCGAAATGTTTCAATCGAGATTCATGAGTTTTGAGACATTTTATGGTGAAACAATCACCATATTCAGACTTAGGGAGTCGAGACGAACAAGACCTATGAAATTTGGAACTAAACAATCACCATCTACGACGGTCGACAGTGATGTCCGATCACCTTCTGTTTCTATTTTTATATATTCAATTATTATAAATAAAATAATAATAATAATAATAATACAAGGCTAAATAATTAAAAATAATAAAATAATTCAGAGTGATAAAAATAAGAATAATTTAAAATTTTAATAAGTAAATTAAAAAATTAAAAAATAAGATAAATATAATAGGGGAGATGGGAATGACATATTTTACCCTACTCTAAAACTATTCTTACAGAAATTTTTCACTGAGTTATCCGAAATCTACTTTTTAAAATTATTAATGGCTGCTTGAGATGAACAAACTAAAATTCGACACGTACTAAAAGTCAACAAACTAGTGTACAAGAAGCAAAAGCCAACCCGAAATGTACCTCATTTGGGTTTTCGACAATTGGGAAACTGATTTTTCGCCTATAAAAGGGATCAAAACCAGATCATCTTCCTCACCGTCTCTTCCACAACTCAAACAAAATTCCGTCACTTTGAAAGTGTTCTTGAGATTATGGCTATGAAACAAGTTGCTTGTTCTGCTATCAAAGCAGTGGCCAATTCTGGGTCATCCTCTGTTCTTACCAGACAACTCCACGTAAGCTTATCCATGTGCTTTTTTTTGCTCTTCATTTCTTTTCTTTTTTCATATTAAGTTGAAATTCAGTTTGGGTTATTTGTTGTCAAAATATTCCAAGTTTAGATTGACAGTTTTTTTGTTAAATAATCGAGTAATTTAAGTGAATTTGATGGCTGGAATTTGGGATCATCGAAAACAACGAAGGGCCTGGCTAGTTCCTTTGCATGCACTGGTGTGGCAAAGTGTGTCGACTCAGTGTCACCAGTCATGGATTATCTAATTACTATTTTTTAAAGTTCTTTATTCTTAATTAATAATATATTTTACTGGCATGTATCCTGAATTTAAATATTTGTATCCGATACATCAAAGCAACCTAGATTTTCAAGATTGATACGAATTTCATGTTGTTTTCCCTGCAAATCCGTTTTTCACTAGTGGTTTAAGTGTTAATGTCTTGTAATGTTTCTTACAGGCTTCTCCAGGGAGCAAAAAGATTGTTGGGGTGTTTTACAAGGCCAATGAGTACTTCACAAAGAATCCCAACTTTGTTGGTTGTGTGGAGGGAGCCTTGGGATTGCGCCAGTGGCTTGAGTCACAGGGGCACCAGTATATCGTTACCGACGACAAAGATGGACCTGATTGCGGTAAGCATTAAGATCCCTACTGTCCTTTTCCGATATGCGGTTAATGTAATATCATTTACCATCATCGAATGATGTTGATGCCTCCATGATCTTGCATAGGGAAGTAAATTTGGTTGGTATAGTAAGAATTCTGAGTTTATAATTTAGAATGCCAGTCCAGTTCATTACAATATGTTGGTGCCATGGTTCAAATAATTAATCTATGGCATCCTTGCTTGCTTTGATCTATTATTTGAACTTTAAAAATAGTGGAATTTTTTAATACAAGTT